GAGCGTAGACATTGCCTTCTTGGCCGGGCGCCACGCCTCGGCGTCGGCCAGCGGACGGCCGATGACCGGGACTCGGAGTCCGACCTCCGGTCGCTCGGTCGACTGACCGGCCACTCGCACTCCGACCGACTTGTCCACCACCTCCGGCGGCCATACGCCGTCGCCGCATCGCCCCGGCGACCCCGCCGGAGAGACGGGACACTCTGCGAGGAGGCTACTGCTGCTGCTGCTGCTGCTGTTACTGCTGCCGCTGCTGGTGTCGGTGCTGTACGAGCCGGCGCTGTTGTCCATGCCGGCGTACATTGGATCCTCGAGCAGGTCGTCCTCGAGCAGCGGGAAATGGTCCGTCCGGTCTGCGGGCAGACTCGAGATGGAGGCCAGCGTCATGATGACGGGACGAGTGAGCTGGCGCTGAGTCCGGCTCGAGCCGGCCGGCGGTACCGGAACCGAGGCCGGTGCCGGTACCGTGACTGCGGTCGGGAGAGGCAGTGGAGGTACGGGCGGCTGTGGGGCGTCGGCGCGGGACGTCAGGCCGATCAAGCGTTGCGGCCACACTTGCTCGACCGGTTGGAGGCGGCCGACTCGTTCGGAGGCGAGCTCGAGAAGCGATTCGTTGCGCGAGTCGACCAGCTCCGAGACGTCCGAGGCCGTCACGCCTCGACGGTCGGCTGGCTTCTTGCCGCAGCCGCCCAAGAGACGAGCTCGAGCCAAGGAGAAGAGGTTGTGTGGCCGCGTCAGCACACTCGCCAGGTTGGGCAGAGAGGCCGTCATTGTGTCGTCTGCCCGTCGCACGGGCCGGCCGCGCCAGTCCATTGTGAGTCCACTCGACGAGTCGACCCTCTCCGGCCGGCCAGAGTCACCCGTTCACGCGCTCGTCCACCGGCATCACTCGCTCCCAGCTGGACGGACTCGAAACCGGTCTGGCCACGAAGACGTGATCTCGTAGAAAGCGTCTCTTCTCTTGCCTCGGAGATGGCCCAAATTGGGTTGCTGTGGTCGCCTGCTGCTGTTGGGTAGCCACAATTCTGAACTACTCTAGACGACTGTCTTTGCTGGCTGCCGGTCGGTCGGCCGGCTCACATTTACACACATACATGAGCACACACACACACACACACACAGATATGCACAACAGACGGATATTTTTAACCAACGAGACCCAACTGCGCTACTCTGTCTACGACGAGCCTCGCGGATACTCCGTATTGACGTGAGAAATAAAGTGGATAAATGGGAATGGCCGTTATCGGCCGGACCCGATGGACACATGACGCCTTGGAGACGAGCATCTCTTCCCGCCCGCCCGACCGACCGACCGACCACCTCTGGGCCAGGCTCACACGAACACACACCCCCTGCAATCGCTTCCAGTCCAGTCTGGTACAGATCTGGAAGCCCAACTGTTATCTGCGCTTTTCTCACAAACATCTGC